CATTGTGCTGTAATCAGCAAAGCAGTATCAGCCATGCTGCTGCGTCCTCTTTGATCCTGCGGCCCACCTGGCGTGCAGCGTCGCACATGCTGCAGGAATACAGGATCATGGCAGCAGCGGCGGCAGGGTTTGAGAAAATAATCCGGAATGGTTCGGTACTGTGCGCTGAACTTTAAAACTTTACAATTCTGCTCTGATCTTCGATCTGTGCTTGTGTAGAAATGCATCTTTGTGCGTGTAGCTCAGAGTCTGCGCTTTACACTCCACTCTGATGCTTCACTCTCAGCAGTCTGGCTCTTTCTGCTCTCGCTACTTAATAAAGTATGTGGCTGATCATCCTCTGCTAAGCGCTAAAAATCCCTTTGCCTAACTATCAAACTTATATTCCTTCCAGCTCACCAGAGGTGATACTAAACTTTCTTTAATTTCTACCAAAAGGAATCCCTAAATTAAATCCAAGGTAAATATTTTGTTGAATTCTGTTTATTTTTGGATAAAGAGCCCGATGAAAAGGTACATAGATCTTTGAATATGTCTCTCTGATTGTTCTTGTTTCTATTTAGAAAAGATATACATTTTTCCTTGTATTGTCATTAAAACATTTTCTCTGTTTCCTTTAAATATGTCAACGTTTTAGTTAACATATGCGCTCAATTTAGGTCTGAATTGCCATGGCATTACAAGGCAGTTTTGTAGGTTCTCTCTGTATTTTTTATATCAAAACCCTGTGAATTTAAACCTATTTTGACCCCTGAGCAACAGTAATTAAGGGGCAAATGCTCAGAAATAAAGCCAAAAGTGCTTTATGATGGAAACCTTGTATGTTTAAAATCATTCCTTTATTGTACATTTTGTTAGCTTGTCTTTCTGCTAGATTAACCAATAGGATATGTTGAACTAGATCTGCTATTTTTACAACTTTGTGAGAACTTTTTTATAAAGTAGAGCATTAAATAATAAAAAAGTGGATTTGAATTCTATAAATCGAAGTTTTCTGTCCAACAGCGATGATGAACTGCACAACAGCATTCTATACCCAGCTATTATCTAGGATAGAGCTGTCAGTTTGGTAAAGAATCTGTTTGTTATTAGAAATTGTAAAGGTTAACTTTTTTTGCAACATAAAACTGACTAAAAGATGGATAAAGACTTTATAGAATGGGATAAAATCATATCAAGATTCATATGGCAAGGAAGAAGACCACGGATTAGATTCAGAACTTTGCTGTTATCGAAGGACAAAGGGGGGTTAGCTTTACCCTGTCTTAAAGGAATAGTACACCCAAAACATGATTAGCCTTCATTTTCTACTCACCCCCATGCTGAACAACACCCTGG